GAGGGGAGAGATGGGGTGGAGGGGTGAGGGGAGGGGAGAGATGGGGTGGAGGGGTGGGGGGAGGGGAGGGGGCAAGGCAGCTGAGTGAAGGGGAGAGGATGAAGAACGGGTCAGGGACTCAGAATGGGTACTGTGTTTGTGGTATGGGGGGGTGTCAGTTAAGGGAAAGGCCAGTGAGGTAAGGGTCCCTGAGGGGGTTATGGCAGTCCTGGGGTGGAGCTTGTAAAGGATTTCAAGATCCGCCATTACCTGATGTTGCACTGACATCGGCAGTGAACAGCCAATCCACTGCCTTCTTAGCATCTGGGCCTAGTAGGTAGAACTTCCCGAAGTAGGACATGTCAAACACAGCTGCAGCATTTCGGCAACTTCCACACTCGGATTTAATCTGCACCAACACACACAAATGTGAGGTAAATCAAGCACCACTGCACTCAGAGGAAGACCATTATGTACCTGATACAGTCTGAAACACCAAGAAATAGCACCAGCATGGGGTGGCTCCGACATACAGGCACAGACACACAGACACACACAGTCACACACACACACATAGCCACAGTCTCACACACACACACACACTGCCATAGTCACACACACACTGCACAACAGTCACACACACACACTGCCACAATCACACATACACTGTGACAGTCACACACACACACAGCCCCACAGTCACACACACACACTGCGCCACAGTCACACACACACACTGCCACAGTCACACACACACTACCACAGTCACACACACACACTGCCACAGTCACACACACACACTGCGCCACAGTCACACACATACACACTCCCACAGTCACACAGCGATAGTCACACACACACACTGCGCCACAGTCAAACACACACACATTGCGCCACAGTCACACACACACACTGCGCCACAGTCACACATATACACACTGTCACAGTCACACACACACACACTGCCACAGTCACACACAGACACTGCCATAGTCACACACACACACTACGCCACAGTCACACACACACACACAGCGCCACAGTCACACACACACTCTGCGCCATAGTCACACACACACACTGCCACAGCCACACACACACACTGCCACAATCACACACACACTACCACAGTCACACACACACACTGCGCCACAGTCACACACATACACA